GCAAGTACTACTCACAAACAAGCTGTTAGGTTTTATCTTCCTACTAAGTCATGGCTTGTTTTGATCATGGGTTGAATAAGTTATTGGATCTGCATAACCTAAGTTGTAAACCACCGTTGATAAGCTACAGCGGTAAGATTTACACATCATGCTAAGGCCAAAACAAAACACTTTACAATTTTTTGCAATCTAATTCCATGTATTTAATCAATAGTGCCACCAAAGTGAATGGGGCTTGCCTTTTAGAAAGAATGCTTAAGATTTCAGTTCTTGTTGGACTAGAACTAACCCAGATTCAAATCCCCAACCAACTATGAAACTCAGTCACTATACTTATCCTACAAGATTGTTCTGAGATTAAAATGGGAAATTCCCTTGAGTTCCTCAGAGGAAGATGAAATATAAAACAGTTGTAGCACCTGAATGGGAGCAGTTGACAGTGAGATGGGCTGCATATATAAATTTGAAAATAAATAAATAAATAAATAAATAGTGGTATTTGAGTCTATATATAGATGATTTAATTGCTGTGCATGCATAAATGAAAATAAGTTTTGTTGAAATTAATAGTTCCTTCTGCCAATTATTGCCAGAATTAGTATTTGATTATCTTCAGTGCAGAGTTAATTGCTGTTTTTTTCCCAAAAAAGAGCCAAGTGGATATAAATTCAATAGGTCTATGGAAAAGGGCAACTTATAATCTGCTTCAGCTGATTCAGTCTGAACAGCATTTCTTTTTAAATAATTATAATAATTCAGTACAGTCTTTTTCTCATGTATGACTAGTAAATGTTAATCATCATTTTCTTTTTTACCAAAAGCGATGAAAGCTTTTAGAAGGCCATTACAAAGTGCATTAAATTGCAGCGTACTGTTGGTCTAACAGCCTGTAACATTATTTTATCCAGTGCTGACTTCTGAAAAATATATTCTGGTGTAATAAATTGAATATATCAAATTCAGTAAAAAGACAACAACAAAGGTTGAGTCCCCTTCAGGACTCATTGGAGCCTTCTTGGGAGGCTTAAATCACTTGCACCTTTTTGAATTATATAGGTCTTTTACACTTGGGAAAGAATCACTTATCATAGATAAAGTACCCTATCTATAATACACAGTTTGCCTCGCTTGGCAGTTTCATACTATAGTGGTGTGAGAGGGACCCCACAGGGACACAGTCCAATTACTGCAAACGGGTGTCACTGTAATAATTAAGGACCAGTGTTAGCACATACAAAGGACACTGAGTTCTAGCCAATGAGGGGAAAAAAAGAATGTTAATTTTCCAGTAACCCATTGCATCAAATATGACCACTTGTTTATGCTCCTGAACTCCCTGATTACTTAGCCATTTCTTATTTGGGCAGTTATGCAGTACGAAGATGTTTCCAATATGTTTCTAAAGCAAAACATGTAAGAATTATTTAGTGGAAGAAAGCTTTTTCACTAAGGTTATTCAAATAAAAACTGCACTGAAAGTTCACTACAAGAAATATATTACAGGAAATAATTTTGGAGAACCCAGTACGATGCAGAGCCAGACAAATGGAATTTTCAAATTCTAATTCCTATTATTTCTTCACAGAAAATTAAATATGTCATACTCATATTTATATTTAAAACTACTTTCCCTTCATATTGCTCTTCTGAGTCATTCCAGCAAGACTAGAACACAACCATACACATCTAATCATATGAATATTCTGCCAAATAGTCCTCCCAATAAGTTATTGATGTCACCTTGATATACTAAAGTAGTACATCTGGTTTCTACTAAAGGAAAGTGTGCCAGTTCTTACACTTGTCCACATTGCATAGTTGAAGCATTGCAGGATTAGGGAATAACTGTCGCCTACCTGCCATGTCTTCTCTCAGATATTACCTATAATATGTCCATAACTGAATGAAAATGGCAAACAATCTGAACATGATCCTGTTATGTTTCATATTATAGCACAAGTTTTCAGTCTAATAAAGGCGTATGCTTATAAATATATCTCAGCAAAAAAAAAAAAAATCAATTGCATCTGACACTGAAAATATTACTCAAGAGTAATCCTAATTGATGGCCAGGGGGAGGAGGGGAACCCACTTTTATTCCATAGTATCTAAGAGAGATGAGTGAATGACAGGATCATTGAAGGAAAAGGGTAGGTGGAGGCATTATAAGAGGAAACTGCTGCTTTACATAATGAGAACTATTTTGATATTAGTGGAGAAATAATTTTCTTCCAGTAACTCATCTGAACTGGGAAACTGCAGGGTATACATTTCACTGTACAGAAATGTTGATGTGCTCAATAGTTTATGAACTCAGATATTCTCTGCACAAAAAAACATCTGTGGAATCCTTGGTGTTCTCTAGCTTGGTTGGTCGTTTGCAGACGTTTCATTACCCAACTAGGTAACATCATCAGTACACCAAGGACTCCACAGTTCAACCCTGAGCCACATATATTCTCTTCTATTGGAAAAAAACACATCCTCTGCAGGCTTATTCGAATAAGTATGTAAAGCTGTAGCTATGAGTCTGTTCAGATATTCAACATCTGTATAGCCCTAAGGCATGGAGGGAGGATTTGGCTGCTACTTAATATCCACTGTATAAAATAGCACCCACAAATTGTATGCCTAGATAACTGAGGGGAAGTGCCTATCATATTAACCGATCCACACATTGAATCTCAACTTCATACTGGAACACAGCATAAATATCTGTTTTATGGAAATTTTGTCATGTGCATAGGTATCCCAATTGCTTAACACACTGCATAGACTATCCAGTAATCTGGTTTTATAGGAAAAAAGTGAATTTGAAGATAATCTGCAAAAGGTTTTGTGCAAATCAGCTAATGTGGGAATTTATGAAATGGACAGTTTTTAAAAACATTTTTGGAACTTATTCCATGTCATGTTGTTAAGATTATCTATAAATCATCTCATATTAGCAAGAAATAGGTGTTGTTTGGGAGGATCAGATGCAATGACTCATTTAACATTTAATTATATCTTATGTTTATACATAATTGAGAGCCAGTGTGGTATAGTGGTTAAGGTGCTGGAATGGAAATAGAGAAACTCAGGTCTAGTCTTCCCTTAGGCACTGAAACCAGCTGGGTGACCTTGGGCCACTTAATCTCTCTGGACAGGGAAGTCAAAAAAATCTATTTCCCAACCTGGACTGGATCACTGTGGTTGACTACAGTCCATAACCTTCAATGAAGAGGATATCGTCCTGCAGTGGGTTTATTGAGGGCAACACTAATACAGTCGTACCTCGGGTCACGAACTTAATTCGTTCCGCGACTCTGGTTGCGACCCGAATCAAATTTT